AGAGATGGGCAGATTTGACTACGAGACTGACAGAAAAAGAAGAATCAGAATATTATCAGATTTGGGACTTATTTTATCAATGGCTAGAGTCAAGACAGCAAGTTGGTTGAAAAATTATTATTGTACGCATGGAAAAAAATTAATGACAGATTATAAGAGCCGGAGTGGAAGAAAATGGAATGAGACTGAATTAGGGAAGGCAGCCAATGAGCTGTTGCCCACCTACACGGGCGCCTGCACGCACATACACACACACACACACACACACCTGTGCATCTCTGAAGCAAAGTGTGTCCTTACCTGCTTGCCTCTCTCCTCCTGTTGGATCAACATGGCGGCCTGCTGCTGGGCCAGCTTCAGGCGTTCTTCTTCAGGCAACGAGGAAGGATCCACCGCCTGCATGCGGAGAGGCACACCCAAAGTGGGGGGCGGTGGAGGAGGTCCCACAACCATGGGGAAGTTGAGGCCCATGCCAGGGGGAGGGGGTGGGGGAGGCTGCATCGGGGGCATGCCCATCGGAGGTGGGGGCAAAGGAATGCCTTGGACCTGAAGGAGAGAGAAAAGCGTTACTCGCGGGAAGGATCGCTGGACTTGCAGACTTCAGAAGCCCTGCTTGCACGCTCAAGCCCATTATATTTGGGGAGGGGGGGTCCAAACATGGCAACTTGAAGACTTTGTGGACTTCAACTCCCAGAATTCTGGCGAGTTGAAGTCCACAAAAGTTGCCAAGTTTGGAGAATTCTAGCTCCATTGGGCGTTGGGCAACTGACATGAATGTATCACGGTGATCATGTGATCCCCACGTGCAATCTTCCCCAGCTTTGCTTCTGACCAGTGAATTCAATGGGGGAAGCCAGGTTCACTGCACGATTCACTTAACAACTGCAGGGATTCGTTTAACCATTGTGGCAACACAAAAAAAGTGATAAAATGGGCTAAACTCTCTTAAAAACTGCCCTGGAAACTTGGGGGGGGGAGGTTCAATTTTGGTCATAAATCGACGATTATTTGTACAATTTTCCAACTTGGCTCCCTGCAAAGGGCTTACCTGTCCTGGCAAGGGAGGTGGGCCTGAGTTGTCTCCATCATCCCCTCTCAGAACAGGTCTGTTAAGTAGAATCCCAGTCTGTTAAAAAAAAACATAAAAAGAAAAAAAATGGAGGCAATAACTCAGCTATTTGCCCTTCTCAACTTGAAACCTGCAATATTTCTCTCTAGCACAAGTGATGGTCTAGGGCAGGGGCAGGCAACCTTGGCTCTTTTATGGCTCGTGGACTTCAACTCCCAGAATTCCTGAGCCAGCCATGCTGAGGGGAAAGGGAGAGGTTTCCAAGCTGAGCCAGGCTGGCTCAGGAATTCTGAGAATTGAAATCCATGAGTCATGAAGGGGCCAAAGTTTCCCTCATGCTGGCTCAGGAATTCTGGGAGCTGAAGTCTACAAATCATGAAGGGGCCAAAGATGCCCTCATGCTGGCTCAGGAATTCTGGGAGCTGAAGTCATAAAAGAGCCAAGGTTGCCTACCCATGGTTTAGGATAGTGTTTCCCAACCTTGGCTGCTTGAAAATCTGTGGTTTTGCTGGCTGGGGAATTCTGGGAGTTGAAATCCCTGTGTTTTCAAGCAGCCAAGAATTGACAAACGCTGGTCTAAGATGTCAGATGGTTTGGGGTGCCCTATAGGGAAACGTTAGAGCTTAACCCCATAGATGCCAAGTCCTTTCCAATCTGGGGCAGCCCAGATGTTTCTCAAAGCACATCTGGAAGATACCATTTGGAAAGAGGGCTGCTGAGAGAAGGCCAATACGTTTCAAATTTTCAGCACGTAAAAAATCTAATTTCAAGCTAAGGTTAGTCCTCTGCTTGAATTTGCTCTTATTTGCTCAAAGAGTGTTTGTAACAACCATCGTAATATACAGCTTTCCTAGATTTTCCTTTACCAAAGTGTTACTTTCTTAGCAGCTGAAATTCCTGTTTCTTCCTAAAGTGAGTGGATTACATGAACATAATCCTAGTTTATAGAATCTATCTGCGTATACTCAGATTCCCCGGTGATTTGGTCTTCCTTTCTTTGACCTGCCAGCCAGTTACAGTAAAAAAAAAAAAAAAAAAAAAAACTGTTGCTTTTTTTCTGAAGCAATAAGAAATAAGGCTTCACCTGAAGAGTATACGTTTGTAGCCGTTCCACCAGCTCTTCACGGCTACCTGGAAGAAAAATAAAATAATTCAGAGATGACGCTGTAAAACAAGAAGGAAGATTAATCAGCCTTCTAATGCTGGGAAAGATGGAGGGCAAGAGAAGAAGGGGAGGACAGAGAAGGAGGTGGCTGGATGGAGTCCCTGAAGCAGCAGGCGTGAGCGTCAATGGACTCCAGAAGATGGCAGAGGACAGGAAGGCCTGGAGGAACGTTGTCCATGGGGTTGCGATGGGTCGGACACGACTTCGCAACTAACAACAACAACAAAGTGCTCTGGGAGATTAGAATTCAAACAGAAAGGCACCTAACACAGAAATGAAAGTAAGAAAGACAAAGAAAGTCTGGATAGTGGAGGTGGCAGTACCTGGAGACAAAAGCAGAGAAAGAACGGGGGGGGGGGGCAGAAAATATACAGACCCATTAATAGAAATAGAACAACTGTAGCAAAAGAGAGCAAAGGTAGTACAAATATTCACAGGCTCCATAGATGCAACCCCAAAACATCTGGAGCATCATTTGAACAGCATCGGCGCTGACAAAATTCTCCATCTGTCCATTGCAAAAGGCAGCTTGACTTGGAAGAGCTGAGATTTTGTGGCCCGGTTAATATTACAGGTAGTCTTGTTTCTGCCGTTAAGTGAGAAGAGTTGTTAAGTGAGGCTTGCCCCATTTTACGACCTTTCTTGCCACAGCTGAGAAGTGAATCACCGCAGTTGTTAAGCGAGTCGCGCGGATGTTAAGTGAACCTGCCTTTCCCCCCCAACTGACTTTGCTCGTGGCAAAAGCGGATCACGTGACCCCGGGGACGCGGCGACCGTCATAAATACGAGTCGGCTGCCAAGCGTCCACCTTTGGATCGCGTGACCCTGGGGAATTGCAACCACGGTCGTTAAGTGTGAAGAACATCCCCAAGTCATTTTATTGCAGTGCCGTTGCAACATCAAGCAGTCACTAAACAAACGGTCGTAAATCGAGGACGGCCTGCATTGATGATCTACAACAGTGTTTCCCAAACTTGACAATTTTAAGGCATGTGGACTTCAAATCCCAGAATTCCACAGCCAGCGTTGCTGGCTGTGGAATTCTGGGAGTTGAAGTCCTCATGCCTTAAAATTGTCAAGTTTGGGAAACACTGATCTACAACATCTGCCTATCTCAGGTCTTTGGGAAGCATTCCACAGCTGGCCCCAAATACCAAATAACCGATTCTGTGACCAACCTTAATAACGGTGCTTTGGTCTAAGAGTTCTTGCACCCAGTAAGGGGATGGACTAGATGGCCTCGAGAGACCCCCCCTCGAAGTTCTTTGCCACGGGGTATCGTTGCTGAACGGTTTGGGGGGGGGGGCGGGAGGGGGGAAAGCTTGGCTTTTGCCACGAAGCGCCTTCGAGGAAACCCGCCTAGCTCGGCCGCCCTACCCGTGTTTGGCTTCCCGTGACGGCCTGTTCACACGACACTACGAACGGCCCAACCCTAGACCGCCTCGACCCCCCCTCACCCTGAGTCGGGGCCCCGATCTCGGCCAGCTTGGCCTGTAGCTCTTTGGGCGACCAGGCCCCGTATCCTGGCAACGGCAGGTCCCCCGCCTTGGGAGGCTCGGAGTGTCCCTCGGACGCCATCTTCTCTCCTCGCTCGAATCGGCTGCGGGAGACCCCGCGCGGCCACCGTAGGCGCGACGGAGCCCCTTACGCGTCCAATCAGCGCCTCTTTTCCCCCTGCAGCCAATGAGGGAGCCAGCTCGGGTTGTTGGTTTTTTTTTTTTTTTTTAGGTTTTTTTTTTTTTTAGGAGGAAGGGGTAGCTCAAGAGCCGGCGGAAGAACGGTAACCAATCCAGGACCTTGACTGGAATCGGGGCGGGATCAAGAGGGCCAATAGGAAGCGCATAGCCTTCTGGGAGTTGTGGTCTCTTGAGGCTGGCTAGTCAAAAGATCAGTTACTGAACTGCCTCGCGGTTGATTTTGGTTTCGCGCTTGGTGCGGCTGTGATCCAGTTGGATTGTTTAGTGCGTGCTTCTTTATTTAAAATTATATGTGTATCTATCTGTCTATCTGTCTATCTATCTATCTATCTATCTATCTATCTATCTATCTATCTATCTATCTATCTATCTATCTATCTATCATCTATCTATCTGTCTATCATCTATCTATCCCTATATACCTATATATATGCTAACAAATAAAAGAAAAAACGAACACCAGGATATAATAAACCAGCCTGTTTAATATAAACAAGCCTGTGCTTAAGAAGAGTCACTAAGCTTGTTTATATTAAATCGGCTGGTTTATTATATCCTGGTGTTCGTTTTTTCTTTTATTTGTTAGCATAATGCCCAGGATTCGCATTTTTAGTATTTTAAAAGACACACACACACATGTATAGGTATGTATGTATGTATCTATATATACATATAAATACACATACACACACAAACATATATAAAAGAGATTTATAAAAACCTTTATTTTTATGTCTACTGCTATGGATGTTGGCATCCTGCTTCTCAAAGGAAACAAGCTTGTAGAAAGCCATGTTTCCTACCCAGGCTTGTACAAATACAGGCAGCCCTTGATTTACAACAGTTCATTTAGTGACAGTTCAAACTTACAACGCACTGGAAAAAAGGGACTTATGATGATCTTTAGCACAACCTTTGCAGCATCCCCAGGGTCATGTGATCAAAATTCAGACGCTTGACAACTGGTTCATATTTATGACAAGAGGCCGTGCCCTGGGGTCACGTGATCCCCCTTTTGTGAACATCTGGCAGGCAAAGTCAATGGGGAAGCCAGATTCACTTACAAGACCGTGTTTCAGTTTTATTTAAACAGTTGTAGCCAGTTTAATTTTAGTTGTGGGCCCATTCGCGCCTTGCACATCACTCCTCTAGGTTCCCTCAACTTATCAATAAAGAATAGATGGGAAGGGAAGATGGTTTATAATGTGCCTTTTTTATTATTTTCGCCTTTGGAGGCGTTCCGTAAATCAGTTACACATCTACAATTTGTATGCAAATGTAGCGCTACCCCCAAAAGGACTCCTCTGCTAAACAAAAATGTTTAGATTCGGTCCAAGCTTGCTCGATTTAAAATCTTTTGCTTTTTCAAAATTTGAAGACTGATTTCCGTTGATTACATTTTCAATTTAAATCTGAAAATCTGAAATTGATGGGAAAGAGAGGTCTCTGTCAGAAAGCTGAAAAATTGCTCGCTTGGCAGCAAGGTAGAAAATGTCAAGTCGTGATCTGAAGTTCTGATCCAAAGCAGCTGTAATCTCTGAAACGAATTTTGGAGCTGCTATCTATCCACAGCCGGCGAGACAGCTAGGTTTAAACTGCTGCATCCTAAGAGTCACAACTTGATTTCATTAACACGGTGTGGTCCGATATCGTGAGGTCGTCAAAATAAAAGCAGCTATGTCAACTTTTTAGCTGCAGCGGTTGCTGGTAGCATTAAAAAAAAAAAAATCCCACTAGTGAACTGTGGATTTCTCTTGCTTCATTTGGGAAAAAAGTCCTCTTCGGATGTCTGTAAGGAGAAGGCAGGGGAATTAGTCTGTTTTGTACTCTATGTTCCATATTGTGGTTATATTCAGTGCTGACCGTTTAGGAGCCACAAAGAGCCTCGAAGAAGCATTCAAAGACATTTGAATTCAAAGCCCCATAAAAAGTGGAACGGGACAGTTGGTAAGAATCTATTGTCTACTTAAGGACTCCTTACCTTGGACAAATTCCAGCAAGAAGGAAAACTGGTCATATACTGTCCCCTAGTGGTGAGTAGGGAATATAACTGCAATAAACCATAGTCCAGTGAAATAAGAATAGAGTGGAATGGAGTGGAGTGGAATATAGAATAGAATAGAATAGAATAGAATAGAATAGAATAGAATAGAATAGAATAGAATTATGGGATAGAATAGAATAGAATAGAATAGAATAGAATAGAATAGAATAGAATAGAATAGAATAGAATAGAATAGAATAGAATAGAATTATGGGATAGAATAGAATAGAATGGAATGGAGACTAGAATAGAATAGAATAGAACTATGGGATAGAACAGAATAGAATAGAATGGAATGGAATAGAATGGAGTGGAATGGAGAATAGAATGGAATGGAATAGAATAGAATAGAATGGAATGGAATGGAATGGAGTGGAATGGAGAATAGAATGGAATGGAATGGAATAGAACAGAATTCTTTTAAAAAGTAGAGGTTAATTTGGTTAAGGGATGGAGGTTTTTTGAGGGGCAGAAGGAATCAAGCTGAGGTTTTTAATCCATACCTCAAAAAATGTGTCCAAGATCTTGTCCGTGGTAGAGGCTTGTGACTGGAATTGCTGTTGGCTGTTCTCAACAGCTGTCATTATCTGGAAATAATTGTATAGAAGCTGCCATTCTCTGAAAGAGGCAAAAAATTTTTTAAAAGGGTTTATTAGGGTGCTGGAGGATAAAGTGTATGATTGAACAGTTGCAGGAACTGGATTTCTTGCAGGAAGGCAGGGAGCTGGACTAGAAGATCTTCAAGGTCCCTTCTATCCTCATTGTTCTATGTTCCATGTTCTAAACTGAATACGTCTAGTCTAACAAAGAGAAGGACTGGGGGGGATATGATCGCCATTTTCCAATTATTTGAGGGGCTGCCACAGAGAAGAGGGAGTCAAAATATTCTCCAAAATACCTGAAGGCAGGACAAGAAGAAACGGATGGAAACTCACCAAGGAGAGAAGCAACCTAGAACTGAGGAGAAACTTCCTGACCGTGAGAACAATTAACCAGTGGAACAACCTGCCTCCAGAAGTTGTGGGTGCTCCATCGCTAGGGGTTTTTAAGAAGAGAAGAGATGACCCTTTGTCTGGAAGGGTATAGGGTTTCCTGCCTGAGCAAGGGGTCAGACTAGAAGACCTCCAAGGTCCCTTCCAACTCTGTTATTCTGTTATTCTGCTCTTCTGCTATCTGGCTTTAATTCTTACTTGTCAGTCAGCTCAAGGCTACCATATTTTTCCATCATCGTCTTCCTAAATAGGGTTTCCTCTTCCTGTTCTTTCAACTTGGTCTTCTCTGTATCAAGCAAAGATGAGAAAAGGGGTCCAGGTTAGCAAAGAGTTCCATACACAGATACATCTTGGCAGTGCTTTTTTTCTTTTTTCTTTTTTAAAAAAAAAAGGTGCCAGAACACACACACATCATACAACCCGCCTTGCCTACCCTACAAGGTTCCATGCAAAAAAGGTGCCAGAACTCCGTTCTGGGCGTTCTGTGAGAAAAAAAAGCTCTGTGTATATGTATATGTATATATGGGAGTTGAAGTCCTGTATCTATCATCTATCTATCTATCTATCTATCTATCTATCTATCTATCTATCTATCTATCTATCTATCTATCTATCTATCTATCTATCGTCTATCAATCTATGTATCTATCTATCTCTATCTATCTATCATCTATCAATCTATCTATCTATCTGTATCTGTATCTATCTGTCTATATATCTATCTATATATCTATATATCTGTCTGTCTCTCTCTCGTATCTATCTATCTATCATCTATCAATCTATGTATCTATCTATCTCTATCTATCTATCTATCATCTATCAATCTATCTATCTATCTATCTATCTATCTATCTATCTATCTGTATCTATCTATCTATATATCTATATCTATATCTGTCTCTCTCTCTCTCCTATCTATCTATCTATCTATCTATCTATCCAATGTTTTTCTAAAAAAAAAAAAAAGGTGCCGGAACTCACACACGTCATACAACCCGCCTTGCCTACCCTACAAGGTTCCATCCCAAAAAGGTGCCGGAACTCCGTTCTGGGCGTTCTATGAGAAAAAAAGCCCTGCATCTTGGCCTCAACCCACCCTTTGCGTTAAATTTAGCAGAGACTAGCTCAACAAGGCATACTGGTTCTACCTTTACAGGCAGTCCTTGGCTTATAGCCATTCATTTAGTGACCGTTTGACATCATTGAAAAGAGTAACTTAGGACGGTGTTCACTCTTAACGATTACTGCAGCATCCTCACGGTCACATGATCAAAAGTTGGATGCTTGGGAACTGGCATGTACGGTGGACAGCATCCCAGAGTCACGGGATCACCATCTGTAGCCTTCCTTCCCAGCGGACTTCTGACTAAGAAGTCAATGGGGGAGGCAAGGTTCGTTTAACGACCGCATGATTCACTTAACAGCTGCAGCGATTCACTTAACAATATTGTAAAAAGGGGCAACACTCCCTTAACAACTTCCTGGCTCAGCAACAGAAATTTTGGGCTCAACCGAGGCTTGAGGGTTACTTGTATTATAAGGTATGTCATGAGCCGAGGTGGCGCAGCAGTTAGAGTGCAGTACTGCAGGCCACTTTAGCTGACTGTGTTCAGCAGGTCAGCGGTTCAAATCTCACCGGCTCAAGGTTGACTCAGCCTTCCATCCTTCCGGGGTAGGTAAAATGAGGACCCAGATTGTTGGGGGCAATGTAAATATATATATACATTGCTTACTGGTGTACACCGCTTAGAGAGTGCTTGCACTTAAAGCGGTATATAAGTTTCATAAATAAATAAATAAATAAATAAATAAAGGTTGGGTTCCTCCACTTTGGCAACTCTAAGATGGGTGGACTTCAATTCCCAGAATTCCCGAGGCAGCATTTTCACGGCTGCACATAGGACAAGCGATTGGCCGGGCCCGAGTCCTGTCAAAGCCTCGTTGATTGTTCAAGTGTGAACCCCCTTCCACCGCACCCACCCCAGTCTGACCATCACCTGCTTGCTTGATTGGATCGTCCTCCGCTGTGCTGTCCTTCAGCTGGACAATTTTTTGCTAATTCAAGAGTGAAGAGAATAAGTCAGCAATGGCAGGAGAGGACGAGGAAGATGCTCGCTGCTGGTCCGCTCTGAAAAACAACCACCTCACAGCTTGGATTATAGCCACGCTCAGCCCAAATGAGTCCAACTGGTTGGTCAAGAAGAATCTCTAGCATGTCGGTTAGGCTACCTTAATCTTTGTGTTTTCATAAAGTTTACTAGGATTTTGAGTACAGAATTAAAAACTAACCAGAACTAATATTTAAAATGAAGAGAGAAAAGAAAAGAAATGGAAAGAAAGGGGGGAAAACCTGAGAAAAAGAAAAGAAAAGAAAGATAAAAGAAAGAAAGAAAAGAAAGAAAGATGAAAGAAAGAAAGAAAGAAAGAGAAAGGAAAAGAAAGGAAAAAAAGATGAAAGAGAAGGAAGGAAGGAAGGAAGGAAGGAAGGAAGGAAGGAAGGAAGGAAGGAAGGAAGGAAGGAAGGAACAAGGTGAAAGAAAGACAAGCAAAGACAAAATTGCAGAAATCAAAAAAAAAAAGGAAAGGCTGACTTCCGATTTTCTATTACTGTAATATATTATTCTATATTACAGCATTAAAAAAGTAAATTCATGACATACTGTGTGGTTCTGAGGATCAGACTACCAGCATTTTTCAGCAGCATGGCCAAAACAGACTACAGTTACCATCATCCACAATAAATATGGCTGGCTGGGGAATTCTGGGACACAGCTTAAAGTCGCCAAGTATGAGAAACATCGGTCCAGGACAGGGGTCCCCAAACTTGGCCACTTTATGACTTGTGGACTTCAACTCCCAGAATTCTCAGCCAGGCATGCTGAAGTCCACAAGTCATAAAAGGGCCAAGTTTGAAAAGCCCTGGTCTAGGGGGTCTCTAACCTTGGGAATTCTGGGAGTTGAAGTCCACAAGTCATAAAGCGGGCCAAGCTTGGGGACCTCTGGTCTAAGAGACATTGAGCAAATTTGCCAACAAACCAGATTCCCACCAGCTTGCAGGCAACAAGACCAACATCTCCCAGGCTGGTGGAGGATGGTGGGAGTGGCCGCCAGGGGGGGTCTGTTCAAGTTTCTCCACTCAAGTTTCCAGTCCCCACCGCCCTCCATTTCTACCCTGGGTGGAGGGGTATTCCCTGCATTATTTCTGGTGAACTTGTCAAGGACTCAAATAAATCCTGGGGATTTGATGACGTGAGGTTTTTTTTTTACTAAGGATCCACCCACATCTGATTGTTTTAAATATAGAACCGTATTTGGGTGGAGATTTATGCATCTTCCACCAAATTGGCAGCCCGGGGGCAATTATTCACCTCCCCCAGCCCCCAAATAAATGCCAGAATTGACCTTCAGCTTCTTCTTCTCTTGGCGTTTGAGGAGAGACATCTGGAAGTTATCCACCAGGACGGCAATCACCAGGCTGCAAGAAAAATTGAGAGGTGTACACTAACAGTGGCCTCCTAAACCGGATGGTAAATTGACTCCACCCGAAAAGACAACAATAAATAGAATTAAACTTCTCTTTCCTTTAAAAAAAAAAAGCAGCTACTTCTATATACAGGTAGTCCTCAACTTACGACCACAACTGAGCCCCCAAATATTTCTTGTGCAAGTTTAATGCCCCGTTTAATGACTTTTCTTGGCACGCTGGTTAAGAGTCACTGCGGTTGTTAAATGAGCGACACGGTCGTTAATTGAATCAGCATTCCCACTATTGATTCTACCTGTCAGAAGGTCGCCCAAGGGGATCACGTGACCCCCCCGAGGCACGGCCACCGTCATAAGTATGAGTCAGTAGCCAAATAAAGGGGCGTAAGTCATTTGTCAAGGCTGCTAACATTGGATGTTCTTGCTTTGACAACATGTGGAGAGGCAGCCTTTTATCTTTCTTATACTTTACTCTTAGGATTAGATGATATTGGGGGAGGGGGGAGGAATGTGATGGGAGTTAGTTAGACATAACAATATTGTGACAAGAGCTGATAAGGCTTGGCGGGAGAGAAAACTGGGTGGAAAGCCAGCATTTCAAACTAATTGGAGAATGTGTTTGATGACGGTTAGTTGGAGGAGGGAATTGTGCCTTGATCTATATGTGCTGAAGGGAGGGGAAGTCACATTTTGGCTTCAACTATGTACATAGTACCGAAGCTATGCTGCTCGAGTAAAGATTCCTTAAGGTAAACAATGCCTCAAAGTTCTTTGAAGAGTTTCACCTTTCGGAACCATGACATTGTTTTTTTTTCAGTGCTGTCGTACCTCTAAACGGTCCCTAAACGAATGGCTGTAAGTCGAGGACTACCTATAGCGTTAAATCCTGTCTCATTAACCACTCCGGATACCCTTCTGCTGGGTAAGCCCTTCCCACCCATACCCTTCTTTCCTGCTTTTCTTTTCAGATCAGCCACGGAGCTGGGCAAAGAATCAAGGCGAAAGCCGGCTGAAAATAACCTGAATCTGGGAGCCATTTCAGAGACTCCTCAGCTGTTTCTCATCCCTCAACAGCTCACTTGTGTTCCCTTTGAACACCTGCCTGGGTCTGCCTGGGCCGTACTTACTTGAGAAGCAGAAAATACTCCACCAGGATATATATGATGAGAAAAATAATAATGTACCAGGCACCTGGAAGGAAGGAAGGGGAAATGGTGTAGAGGGATATTCCAGATCCACAGGACCCCAGTTACTGCCTCTCTCTCTCTCTATCCATCCATCCATCTATCTATCTCTATACATGTGTATCTATATATATATCTATATCTATATTCAAAATTTTGTGGCTGACAAAGAGTTAAAGGGAGACTAGTATAACTATTTCAAGTTCTTTAGTTCTCATCTCATGTGTTCCACCCAACACACACACACACATAAATCTATCTGTCTGTCTGTCTGTCTGTCTGTCTATCTATCTATCTATCTATCTATCTATCTATCTCATCTATCATCTATCTATTATTTCAACCATCCATCAATCTATCTCTATCATCTTTGTCTCTATCATCTCTCTAATCTATCAATTTATATCTGTCATCTATCTATCTGTCTGTCTGTCTATCTATCTATCTATCTATCATCTATCTATATCTCTATCATCTCTCTGTATCATCTCTATAAATTTATATCTCTATCGTCTCTCTATATTTCTGAAATGTATACAGCCGCCTACTTGCTCTCAGTGATTCTAGGTGATTTACACGCAATAAAACACAGTACAGGTAGTCTTCGACTTACAACAGTTCATTTAGTGACCGTTTGAAGTTACAACAGCCCTGAAAAAAGCCATTTATGACCACATTTCACACTTTCAACCGTTGTAGCGTCCCCCTTGGTCAAGTGCTTAGAGTTCAGATGCTTGGCAACCGACTCACATTTATGACGGTCGCAGTGTCCCGGGGTCACGTGATCTGCTTTTGCGACCTTCAATGGGGAAGCCAGATTCACGTTAACAGCTGTGTCCCTAACAACTGCAGGGATTCACTTAACAACCATGGCAAGAAAAGTCATAAAATGGGGCAACTTCAGCAACGTCTCGTTGAGCAGCAGAAATTTTGGGCTCAATTGTGGTCGTAAGTCGAGGATTAGCTGTAAAAAGACAGGGCCAGTGACAATAGACTTGGGAAGGGAAGACAGCTCTTTGGCGGGAGATAATAATAATGACAATAATAATAATAATAATAATAATAATAATAATACACCCCCAGTGAGGCACTACCTTGACGTGGTTGTGGGGCTTGTGTACTCTGAGGAAGATGAGAGCTATGCCAGAGGTTCAACCATACTGGACAGGTCTCATCAGAGGAGTCAGACAAAGAGTGTCTCTCCCATAAAAAATATGGTGAGACGTAAATTTCAGAATGCCATACCGGCTCGGACGTCGCCCGGGTTAACAAGGTCCGCACTAGATATTGGAGTTCCTGGATATCTGGTGAAAAATGGGTTACAGGACTCAGGACTGTTGGCTGAGCAACCAGGGCCAGCAGCTGCAGAACTACTGGAAGAAAAGGTGTTTACCCGTCGCAGATACACAGTGATGGAAAACAAAGAAATAATGATCTGTTACTACAGATCAAGTCCAACAAGAAGAGGATATCTAAAACGAATGCACCAGTTCTGGAAAGAACAACATCCAGAATCAGAAATAACAGAACAGAGACTAGCAGATCAACGCCGATTTATAACACGAAATAAAGTATTCACAGAAACAGAATTGGACGAACTGCAAAGGTTTACCCAGGGCAAAGAAATCAAAGCCTTACCAGAAGTAATTCAGAATGTAGAGGCAAACCAGGGGGAGTTGGCAGTGAAGGAATCTAGCAGAGATATACAACTGTTCTCATTTGGAAACCAGGCACCTCTACCTCAGGAAGAACAAAACCCTCTAACTAAAGAAATAAAAGAATTGAAACAAAGAATAACTGAGCATCTAGAACAGCACAAAAACAACAGAATAAGGCTACCTGCATTGAAGCTTGTTCCAAAGAAACAGCTAGCACAAGCATTAAAAGATGCAAATATTGCAATATCAAGTATAAGCACCAATTCATTGCAAGAAACAAACCAACTAATGTACAGCACAGCTGCAGTTATAACAGAATACCTGGGGTGCAAAATCAACAAAGAAGAAAAACAAACAAACAGTGCACCAGAAAAATGGAAGGTTAGACTAGAAAATAAGATCAGCAAGTTAAGATCACATGCAAGCAAGCTAGAACAGATGAAAGAAAAGAAGCTGAAGAACAAGAAGACCAAAGAATACCTAATCAAGAAATACCACTTAGAAACAAGGAAGATCAAGGAAGCACTGGAAATAATAAAGCAACAAATAACAGCTATAGCCAGGAAAATCAGTAGATATGAAGCTCGAATTGCAAACTATAGGCAGAACCTCCATTTCAATCCAATCAGAAACGTTTCTACCAATCCATCAATGGAGAAACTGCAAGGAATCAGTCAGTACCTGACAAGGAAGAAACAGTGCAGTTCTGGAAGCAGATATGGGATAACCCAAAGAAATACAACAAGGATGCGGCTTGGTTAAAAGAGGTGGATGCAAATAAAACAGAAGCTGAAATGAAAGAACTAGTAATAACAACAAAAATGGTAGAAAAAAGAGCAAAGAAAATCAAAAATTGGTCAGCACCAGGTGAAGATGAACTGCATGGGTTTTGGTTGAAACATCTAACTGTTATACACCCACTCATTGCCAAGCAGTTCAACAATATACTACAAGGAGGAGAAATTGAAAAGTGGCTAACAACTGGGAAAACCTACCTAATAATGAAAAATCCAGCAAAAGGGGCAACACCAGGTAACTACAGGCCAATTACCTGCTTACCAACAACTTTCAAATTACTAACTGGTGTGGTAGCTGATGCAGTACAACAGCATCTAGTTGAAAACAATCTCTTTCCACCTGAGCAGAAAGGAAACCGCCCCAATAGCAGAGGAACAAAAGATCAACTCCTAATAGACAAAATGATCTTGGAAAACTGCAAGAGAAGGAAGACCAACCTGAATGTGGCATGGATTGACTACAAAAAGGCATTTGACTCTCTGCCACATGATTGGATAATAAAGTGCCTAGAAATAACAGGAGTCAGTAGAAACATCAGAAAATTTGTGCAAAGATCGATGGCACAATGGAAGACACAGTTGCAGATCAATGGTGAGAGCTGGGAGAGGTTAATATCAAGAGAGGAATATTTCAAGGAGATTCATTATCACCATTACTATTTGTTATTGCACTGTTTCCTCTGTCAACAATACTGAATAACTCAGGACATGGCTATCAAACATCAAAAACATCTGCCAGACTATCCCACCTCCTTTATATGGATGATCTGAAGCTGTATGGAAAAACATCATCTGAAATAGAATCGCTGCTCAACACTGTCCGTATATATAGCCAAGATATTGTAATGGAGTTTGGCTTGGACAAATGTGCCACACTTACTATCAAACAAGGAAAAATAATGAAAACTGAAGGAATCAAGATGCCCCACGAAAATAACATTAAGAGTCTGGATGAGGAAGATACTACAAATACTTGGGTATCCTTCAAGCTGACAACATCAAGCACACTGAAGTCAAGAAAAAGATTAGAGGTGAATACATCAAGAGAGTGAAGAAGATCTTAAAATCCAAACTCAATGGAGGAAATACCATAAAGGCAATCAACACCTGGGCAATCCCAGTCATTAGGTACACAGCTGGAATAGTGGACTGGACTCAAGCAGAACTAAAAGCAATGGATAGGCAGACCAGAAAAATAATGACAATGAATCATGCCCTTCATCCACGCAGTGACATTGATAGACTTTATCTACCAAGGCAAATAGGTGGGCGTGGAATGCTACAAGTACATCAGATGGTTGAAGAAGAAAAAATGGCTTTGGAAGAATATCTGAAGAACAATGATGAAGATGCACTGAAATTAGTATATCAGGAAGGCTTACTAACTACTGGAGAGACCAAACTGGCCTACAAGAAAGACCAAATGAAGAACAGAATAGAGGCATGGGAAGACAAAGCACTACATGGCCAATACATGAAAAAAATAGCTGGGAAAGCAGATAATAATAAAACCTGGCAATGGCTAAGAGCAGGAAAATTGAAGAAAGAGACCGAGGGACTAATTCTGGCTGCACAAGACCAAGCCTTAAGGACAAATGCATACAAAGTCAAAATTGAGAAGACAGCAACAGACAGTAAGTGCCGCCTATGCAAAGAAGCTGAAGAAACAGTGGACCACTTGGTAAGCTGTTGCAAGAAGATTGCACAGACTGATTACAAGCAGCGGCATGACAAAGTAGCAACAATGGTGCATTGGAAGATCTGCAAAAAATATCATTTGCCTGTAAGCAAAAACTGGTGGGATCATAAAATAGAGAAAGTCATAGAAAATGATAAAATTAAACTGCTCTGGGACTTCAGAATTCAAACAGACAAGCACCTGCAACATAACACCCCAGACTTAACAATTGTCGATAAGAAAGACAAAAAAGTCTGGATAGTGGACGTGGCAGTGCCTGGAGATAGCAGAATAGAAGAGAAAGAACTGGAGAAGATAACAAAATACAAAGACCTACAAATAGAAATAGAAAGACTGTGGCAAAAGCAAGCAAGGGTAGTACCAATAGTCATAGGCTCCTTGGGTGCAATCCCAAAACAACTGGAGCACCACTTGAACACCATTGGCATTGACAAATTCGCTATTAGTCAATTGCAAAAGGCGGCCTTATTAGGAACTGCTTCCATCCTGCGACGATATCTGTAATACCATCAAACATCCACATCTGCCTATCCCAGGTCCTGGGTAAGGACTCGATAGGTAGACAAAATGCCAAATCCAGTCTGAACATCTGGCTGACTGTGCGATGATCGATAATAATAATAATAAAAAGTTGGAAGGGACCTTGGAGGTCATCTAGTCCAACCCCCTGCTCAGGCAGGAAACCCTATATCATTTCAGACAAATGGCTGTCCAGTCTCTTCTTAAAAACTTCCAGCATTGGAGCATTCACCGCTTCTGGAGGCAGGTTGTTCCACTGGTTAATTGTTCTCACTGTCAGGAAGTTTCTCCTTAGTTCTAGGTTGCTTCTCTCCTTGATTAGTTTCTACCCATTGCTTCTTGTCCTGCCTTCAGGCGCTTTGGAGAATAGCTTGACTCTCTCTTCTTTGGGGCAGCCCCTGAGATACTGGAACACTGCTATCATGTCCCTCCTGGTCCTTCTCTTCATTAAACCAGACATACCCAATTCCTGCAACAGTTCCTTGTATGTTTTAGCCTCCAGTCCTCTAATCATCTTTGTCGCTCTTCTCTGCACTCTTTTAGAGTCTCAGCATCTTTTTTACATCGTGGTGACCAAAACTAGATGCAGGATTCCAAGTGTGGCCTTACCAAGGCATTGTAAAGCAGTATTAACACTTCACGTGATCTTGATTCTATCCGTCTGTTAATGCAGCCTAGCACTGTATTGGCCTTTTTGGCAGCTGCAGCATACGGCTGGCTCCTATTTAAGGGATTGTCCACTAGGACTCCGAGGTCCCTCTCACAGTTACTACTATTGAGCAAGGTACCCCCTATACTATACCTGTACATTTGGTTTTCCTTGCCTAAATGTAGAACCTTAAATGTAGATTTAAGTCACAAAGGGACGAATCCCCACCCCGGATTGAACAGATTCCGGCGTCTCTCTCTACCTGCAGCATAGCACGTGAGGTAAATAATAGACCAGTCGTCCAGAGTGAAAAGCTGGAAAAGGGTGAAGATGGTTTTGAACAGGTCCCCGAAATGCTTCTTATCCGCTTCCTGGAACATGTCAAGCAACACCACGGAAGACATGACTAGAAGCCGAAAGTCACGGGGGTCAAGGAAGAAACAGCAGTTAGAAAGGTGGAGGAGGTGGGCGCGTTTCGAACCTGGGCTTCAATGTGGGACACCCATCTGGGAGGAAGGGGAGACTTGTCAATTCAAGCAAAGGAAAAGAACATGGGAACTTTCTGTGAAACTGACTAGGACACGGTCAGAAATGGACTCAACTCTCTACTAGAGAGGATCCTAAACGGTTAACTATTGGGCTAAAGGGAGACTTTGCGATAAGGGGAAATTTGATTATTGCGTTTAAAATAGTTGGGAAAGTGTTAAAAAATAAATAAATAAATAAGGGATTAATTTGTTTAATATTGAGAATTTAGATTTACAAGGGAAATGAAAACTAACTATTAGGAAATAGGTTTGAACTATTGTTTAGCCCAGATAATGCAGACGTTGGACTCGAGAAAATAAAGGATACTTCATTATTAAGGGGGTGATGGATTAGGGCGAGAAATAGAAAAGGTTTATGAAATAAAATTAGAATATATCTAAGTGAATGTGCCAACATTGGAAGTTTTTAAGAAGAAACTGGACATCCATTTGTCAGAAATGGTATAGGGTTTCTTGCCTGAGCAGGGGGTTGGACTAAATGACCTCCAAGGTCCCTTCCAACTTTATTATTATTATTATTATTAAAGTAATATGTGATTTTAGACATTATAATTTTTACGGAGTGAGACAAAGGAAATCTGGATTACCCAAAACTTAAATACTTTGGATATTAAAGGTTAAATGGGAGTACTGTAATTAAAAACTAAAAAATTAGGTACAACTTAAAAACAGGATATGGATATGTATCAGCAAAAAAATGTATTGATGAGTGTGATAATGAAGTTTTAGCCGAGTTTGATACAATTAGAAATTTACTAGCTTAAATATGAGGTAGCAAATGTTAAGGGGAACAGAGAAGAAATATTTGATGATGGTGTAACCTGAGATATGTACTAAAGATTTTGTTATTGGACTATTGACGAACACAATCACCACGTTGCTTTCCAAATACTCAAATGTAAAACTGGAAAAGCAATAAAATATTATGTATGTATGTATGTATGTATATGTATATATATATAAAAAACGAAATGGACTCAACTCCTAAAATTCACCTCCAGGCGGAGATGGGAGACAAAGCAGTCAAATGCTTCACGACCCAACTAGGTAACACCATCAGTGCAAGGGGGTGTGAGGTTTGCTTCCTGTTTATATACAAGGGCTTACCTTGTCAATATTGGCAAGACTGAGAGTGCTATGTTGTTTAGATTCCTTGGGGGGGGGGGGGAAGATGGTATAAGCAAGGGTTTTTCAAACTTGGCAACTTTCAGATGTATGGACATCAATGCCCAGAATTCCCCAGCAGGCAGACTGGAGAATTCTGGGAGTTGAAGTCCACACCTCTGAAAGTTGCCAAGTTTGAGAAAAGAAAACCTGGTGTGAGCAGAAGAATAAACTAAGAAGTGCTTTTGATGAGATATATACCTATCGCCATCGGCTACTGCTGTCCCCCCCCTCCCCGTTTCTTGCTGGGAGGATACATAAGAAAGAGAACATGAGCAGAATAATAGCTCCGATGGACTGGAAGGAAAGCATAAAAGTGCCTGTGATTTCTTGCAGGTTCTCCGTCACCCTAGAAGAAAAAGAGCATAAAAAAGAAGAAAAAGAAGAATTATTAATAATAATAATAATAAATTATTATTAATTATTAACTCTTCCTTTGGGAGAGTTCCTTCCTTCTTCCCTCCCTCCCTCCCTATCTCCTTCCTTTTCTTCCCTCTTCCTTCCTTCCTTCCCTCCCTCCCTCCCTCCCTATCTCCTTCCTTTTCTTCCCTTCCTTCCTTCCTTCCCTCCCTCCCTATCTCCTTCCTTTTCTTCCCTTCCTTCCTTCCTTCCCTCCCTCCCTATCTCCTTCCTTTTCTTCCCTTCCTTCCTTCCTTCCCTCCCTCCCTATCTCCTTCCTTTTCTTCCCTTCCTTCCTTCCCTCCCTCCCTATCTCCTTCCTTTTCTTCCCCCTTCCTTCCTTCCTTCCCTCCCTCCCTATCTCCTTCCTTCCTTCCCTCCCTCCCTCCCTATCTCCTTCCTTTTCTTCCCTTCCTTCCTTCCCTCCCTCCCTATCTCCTTCCTTTTCTTCCCCCTTCCTTCCTTCCTTCCTTCCTTCCTTCCTTCCTTCCTTCCTTCCTTCCTTCCTTCCTTCCCTCCCTCCCTCCCTCCCTCCCTCCCTCCTTTCCTTTCCCATCCCATCCTATCCCATCCCATCCTATCCCATCCTGTCCCCACAGCAACAGAAAGTCACCCAGCCCAAAGTCACCCAGTTACCATTATTGCTTGAGGCGGGACTAGAACTCACCGTCTCCTGATCATTGGCCCCAAAGGATCCCACTGGCTTTCCTGCCTAAGGCGGGACTAGAACTCATGGTCTCTCGGTGATTGGCCCAAAGCCCTCCAGCCAGCTTTTATGCCTAAGGCAGCACTAGAATTCACCATCTCCCAGTTTCTAGCCTGGAGCCTCCACCACTACACCAGACTGGCTCTCAGAACTAAAAGGGACTCAACCTTCCTGTTACTGAATTTGATGTCCCCAGAGATCGGTCTGTCCTGGTTTATTAGACGGGGACTGTGCTATTGTCTCCCTTCAACCATTTGCAATTTGACTACGGAACAACGGGCGGGTGGCGTTGCTGACCGAAGGGTGAGGAGGAAGCGGATGGCGCGGATGGCGCGAATCCCCTTGATGATTTTGAGGACCCGAAAGAGGGTGAGGGTGTTGCCTCGGTTTCCCTGCCCGGCGGTGAAGGAGAGCACGAGGATAAATTCCAACACCATCATGAACATGATGAAGAAATCTGATCAGGGAAGAGAAAGAAAAGAAAATCTACAAGATAGTTAAATCCACCGTCTCCTGGTGATTGGCCCAGAGTCACCCAGTTGGCTTCCATGCCTAAGGCGGGACTAGAACTCACCGTCTCCTGCTGATTGGCCCAAAGTCACCCAATTGGCTTCCATGCCTAAGGCGGGACTAGAACTCACTGTCTCCTGGTGATTGGCCCAGTCACCCAGTTGGCTTCCATGCCTAAGGCGGGACTAGAACTCACCGTCTCCTGGTGATTGGCCCAGAGTCACCCAGTTGGCTTCCATGCCTAAGGCGGGACTAGAACTCACCGTCTCCTGGTGATTGGCCCAGAGTCACCCAGTTGGCTTCCATGCCTAAGGTCAGGACTAGAATTCACAGTCTCCTGGTTTCTAGGCCAGAACCTTAACTATTACACCAAAATGGCTCTCAGCAATTTGCTCGGAGGTTTCAAAACATTTTTAAAATGGAGCAACAGGGCCACTAGCCATACTGAAACCATAGCCTGCTTTCAATGCCTACCTAAAGTCCAACGCGTGGAATTCCATAGGTGATTCCCTCCCATTGCAAGCCTGTCCCCGTGACCTCCCCCCACCCATCTCTTGACCCTATGGCGAAAGACTCACCAATGTCGTTCCACGGGTCACGGAAGTAGTTAAAGTCCAATGCGATAAACTTGAGAATGGCCTCCACGACATAGACACACAGGAACACTGGATCCAGGGCAGAGAAGAACCATTCTAGAGAGGATGAAGGGAAGACCATCAGCAGCAAGACGACAAGAGAAGTCGGAACCCAGGCAGTCCTCAACTTACAACAGTTCATTTAGTGACCACTCCAAGTTACAACGGCACTTGCATCCTCTCCCGTGGTCAAAATTCAGGCACTTGGCAACTGACGGTTGCAACGTCCCGGGGTCACGTGATCCCCTTTTGGCGACCTTCTGACCAGCAAAATCAACGCGGGAAGCCAGATTCCCTTAACAACTTATCAAATGTCTCCCTTAGCAACAGAACATTTGGGCTCAGTTGTGACCGAAAGTTGAGGACGACCAATAAGTCTCCTTGCTAACCTCCAGACTTGAAAATGTCCTGGTTAGATTCCCATCCTTGTTCCCCGCAGAGCAGTTGGAGACGAACTGAGATCAGCTCCGTGCTATCCTCTGCTGGGATAAAGCCTCCACAAAACTTCCTGGAAGGTCTTAATTGTTGGAAATGTAAACAAAAGCCAGGTTGTTGTTGTTGTTAATTGCGAAGTCGTGTCCGACCCATCGCGACCCCATGGACGACGTTCCTCCAGGTCTTCCTGTCCTCTACCATCTTCTGGAGTCCACTTGCTCGCTCACTTCCTGCCCTGTCGCTTCCAAACGCCACGTGCTCGCTACTCTGGCGAACTCTGCTCCGAGTGCCGCCTCAGGCACGCGGGCCATAGGTTCGCCACCACTGCCCTAGAGCGGGGCTTTTCAACCTTTTCACCCATGGTACCACTTTTAGGATATGGCAGCATCCGAGTACCACCAGTCGCCTAGCAAGGTATCAAAAACGTGATGACCCCCTCCCCAAAAAAGCAAGGGATAAACTACAGGTAGTCCTCGACTTACAACAGTTCGCTTAGTGACTGTTCGAAGTTACAATGGCCCTGAAAAAAGTGCCCCCCAAGCGACAGCCGAGCAAGACACCGGCCTGCCCGCCCGGCCGCGCTCTTCCTCCTGTCCGAGGTTTTCATTGTTGTGAGCATTTCTGTTGAGGATTGGCAGCGGGGGTGGGGGGTGGGGGTGTTTGGTTTTTATTCCCCCCCCCCGTCTGCTGGGTGGTTGCAGCAGGTTTTGGTCACTTCACATGATCCTGGGACACTGTGACCGTCATAAATATGAATCCGTTGCCAAGCATCTGAATGTAAATCACAAGACCCTGAAGATGCTGCAACATTCCAGCTGATCGGCGCTTCTTGGGCTGTGGCTTGGGGGGCATTTTTTTTCAGAGCCATAGTAACTTCGAACAGTCACTAAGCGCACTGTTGTAAGTCGAGGACTACCTGTACTTCATCGCTTTTTTCCTCTTTTGGTCATCAAGTTTTGGACACCTTGCTAGGCAACTGGGGGTACTCGGATGTTGCCATATCCTAAAAGTGGCACAACGGGTGAAAAGGTTGAAAAGCCCTGCCTTAGACCCCCGAGAAGTCGGCCGGCCTTACCTCCTCGTATCTCCACCACAGCGAACGTCTGAACCACCAGCAGGATGGTGTTGATGGCCACCATGCCACAGATGAAGAAGTCAAACAGGAAGGACTGAGTCAGCTTGAAGATGACCTTCCGCAGGTAAACAAGACACGGGTAGATCTTCTGCCAGGAGCGAATCAGGATGTCTTTCAGGGTTATCCGCCGGTAGCGGTGGCGGTGGCGGTGATGGGAAGACTTCCCCATGTCTAGGGGAGAAGAGAGGGAGGCACGTCAGATGGGAGGGGGCAAATCGCCGTGGCCAATGTGCCGCGGGACAACCGGCGATGGGATTCCTTTCGTTCTTTTGATTCTCCTTGACCGCTTATTTCATCTCTCGTCTCGAAGAAAACCATTTCTCCGACGGCCAGCTTCGGTAAGGCTTGGATGGACCGTGTGACTAATTTCAGAACTGCCGTGATTCACTGCTTGAGCAGGGGGGCTGGACTAGAAGACCTCCAAGGTCCCTCCCAGCTCTTCTGATGGATTGACATGGTATAGGGCAGTGGTTCTCAACCTGTGGGTCGGGAACCCATTTGGGGTCGAACAACCATTTCACGGGGGTCGCCAAACAACGCAGTCCGCCATTTTTTTCCCCTTTTCCTTAGCTGTGCTCCTCCCTTTTATTCTATTGGCTTTTGAAAGCCAATAGCATAGACTCTCTTGAATAGAGTCTCATTCTATTGGCTTTCAAAAGCCAATAGGAATTGTCCAGGCTGTCTCTGCCCTGCTGAGCCCGCCAAAAGTCCCATTCTGCAAACGGTGCTGCACCAGTTGAGTAGTCCTCGACTTACGACCGGTTGAGTAGTCCTCGACTTACAACCGGTTGGGGGGGGGTCGCGGCATTAAAAAGGTTGAGAACCACTGGTATAGGGTCTCCTGCTTGGGCAGGGGGCTAGTCTAGAAGACCTCCAAGGTCCCTCCCAGCTGCATTCTGATGGATTGACATGGCATAGGGTCTCCTGCTTGGGCAAGGGGCTGGACTAGAAGACCTCCAAGGTCCCTCCCAGCTGCATTCTGATGGATTGACATGGCATAGGGTTTCCTGCTTGGGCAAGGGGCTGGACTAGAAGACCTCCAAGCTCCCTCCCAGCTCCATTCTGATGGATCGACTTAACAAATGTGGCGAGAAAGGTCGTAAAAGGGGGCAAAAGTTAACCCACGAGGTCGCACTTAGCAACGGAAACGTTGGGCTCCATCGTGGTCGTAAGTTGAGCACTTCCCTGTATCCCACAGAATCGTAGAAATGGAGAGTTGGAAGGGATCCCCAGTGATCCCCCCCTAAGCTACTGCATTGTGCAAAAGAGTCCCCGGTCCTCACGGGGAAAGACCCGGCTTCTTCTCCGAAGCCTTCGGAGATGCCCACGGCTTTTGTAGGCAGACTCTTCCGCTGTTATCCAGGAAGTCCGCTTAACTCAGAAAGATCTCCTCAGCTCTCATTTCCCACCCACCCACCCACCCATTTCTGGGCAGGATGGTTTCTCTACCCACCCACCCACCCATCCATCCCCCGCAGCCCTCTCTTTCTCCCTTCCACTTCCCAGAGCCACTCACGTTTTAGTTTCGGGGTGTGGTGCGCACTCCTGTTTCCTCGCTGGCCTTTGTGGATCTTGCTACCCTTATGGGAGAGTTTACTCCTAGCTGGTGCAGCTGGTATGAAGATGGAGGGCTCTTGCTTCAGGTCAGCTGAGGTGCTGGGGCCTTGAGTAGCGGCCGGCTCCGGCTTCCCTTGAGTGACGAACATGGCCTGGTCTTGTTTCTCTATCGGGGAAGCGGAGGTGGGCACCATAAGATAATCCATGGTGCTGTCGGATACTTTCGCCCCTCCGACAGGCAGACGCTTCCAGCAAATCCCTCCTTCGCGTTGCAGCAAGTGGGGAGGGGGGCTCCCACGGAAGGGAAGAGACGCCGGGCTTCCATCCAGAAGGCCAGACTTTCTTTTGTGACGTCATAATAGGAAATCGAGGTAGTGACAGATTTGATCTTCCCGGGCTCCAAGATCACCACAGAGAGGGACTGCAGCCAAGGAATTAGAAGAAGCTTGCTCCTGGGGAGGAAAGCTATGGCAAATCTAGACAGCATACTCAAAAGCAGAGACATCACCCTGCCAACAAAAGTGCGTATAGTCAAGGCCTTGGTTTTCCCAGTTGCAATGTATGGCTGTGAAAGTTGGACCCTAAGAAAGGCTGAGTGCCAAAGAATGGAGGCCTTTGAACTCTGGTGCTGGAGAAGACTCCTGCGAGTCCCCTGGACTGCAAGGCGATCCAACCGGTCAGTCCCAGAGGAGATCAACCACGACTGCTCTTTAGAAGGCCAGATCCTGAAGTTGAAACTCAAGTACTTTGGCCCCCTAATGAGAAGGAAGGACTCACTAGAGAAGAGCCTGATGCTGGGAAAGATGGAGGGCAAGAGAAGAAGGGGACGACAGAGAAGGAGGGGGCTGGATGGAGTCACTGAAGCAGCAGGCGTGAGCTTCAATGGACTCCAGAAGATGGTAGAGGACAGGAAGGCCTGGAGGAACGTTGTCCATGGGGTCGTGATGGGTCGGACACGACTTCGCAATTAACAACAATAGGAGACCAAGAAGAAAGTGGCAGCCCTTGACCCAAAGGTGCTTTTTCCAAAAGGCAATTGACACTTTCTTGGTGTGGTTTTTTTTTCTTCGCTTCCAAATGTTTCGCTTCTCGTCCATGAAGTGTCTTCGTTTCTAACTTCAGCCAACTTCTACAGTTCGAACTTAAATGAAACGTTTGCGAGGAACAACCAAAAAAAAAAAAAACACAAGAAAAGTCCAGTTGGCTTTTGGAAAGCTACCTTGAGGACACTGGAGGGCATTTAAAAAGAGACCGAATAGCCCTTTGTCTGGAATGCGATGGGGTCTCCAGTTTAGCAGGGGGTTAGACTAGAGGATCTCCAAGCTACCTTCCAACTCTATTATTCCAACTGTATAAAATTCTGACAACCGTGACCTTGGAGATTGAGAATCTCCATAGACTTGCAGCCATTGAGTCTCTGCAACTAAGGAAGCCCCCCCCCAGGTACAGATGCTTGGAAAGTCATGATGCGCAACTAGGCAAAATTGCTGCCAGGCACGGGGGGGGGGGGCACAAGTACCCATTGACCAGAATGCAGAAGGTGTTGTTTCCCACTGGGACCAGTTTTAAGCCCCACGAGGTAGAACATAGAAGCCTAAGGCTGGAAGAGACCTCAGGGGTCTTCTAGTTCAGACATGTCAAACACAAGGCTCGGATGCGGGCCGCAAAGTGGTTTCATGTGGCCCGCGAAGCCATCCTGGAAACAGTGAGGGAACGGCCCCCGCTGCCTTGACCCTGGCCCAGGCCGGCCGGGAGCCAATGTACAATTTTGTGGTGGCCATCTATGCTGAAACGCATTCAGTCTTAGCTCCATAAGCCCCCCCCCCCTCATGGCCTGAGAAGAACAGTGAGGCTCCTCCAGTGGACCATGCCTCGGCACTTGCCCTGGTCCCCCCCCTTCTGCCAGAGACACTCAGATCTATCCCACTCCTGCCCAGGCCCCCACAAGCCCCCTTGACGCAAACGGTGTAGAGCTGGCCATGCCCACCCAGCAGGCCACACCCACTCCATTCACACCCACTCCATTCACACCCACCCAGTAGTCCGCACCCACCCTGGCCACACCCACCCGGCCCCAAGGGCAGCCACCGGTCCACACAAACAAGCAAAGCCCCATCCGCGGGATGCAGGCAGCACACAAAACCACGCCCCCTCCGGTCCGTGGTGCCCCAAAGGTTGGGGACATCTGAGTTAGAAGAGAAGACGGTGGAACTGGCCTAGGGATAGAAGATGCAGCTCTTGGGAACCTGTCTGCAGGCTTAGTAATGCTTCTCCCCGTCAGGGATATAAAGGCCGGCTGGGCTCTGCTGCTTCTCAACGTTAAGATTTATTTTTAGATGGTCTACGATTACAGGTGGCAGCGTCAGCTGCTGGCCCAGGTGTGTTGGCTTCCTCTAGGCAGTCTATCTTCCTTTCAGATTGATTTGGGGAACTCTTCTACGGACTCGGTGCTCGGATACCTGAAAACACAAACGTCACAGGTTGCAGCTGCCAGGGACAGGCGGTCCTCAACCGACGACCACCACCGCCGAGGCACCCGTTTTACGACATTTCTTGCCACCGTTGTTAAGTCAATCCCTGAAGCCGTGAGGTTTAGTAACCCGGGTGGTTAAGTCAATCTGGCTTCTCTCGTCAGATGGTCGCCCCCCCCCAAAAAAAATGGGGGGGGGAGAGGGGATCGCGTGACCCTTGGGACACAGCCACCGTCCTAAGTATGAAGCAGTTGCCACACGTCTGGCTTTCGATCACGTGACCACGGGGATGCTGCAAAGGCTGCAACTGTGCAACATGGCCCCAAGGCACTTTATCCAGCACCATGGTAACTTGGAACAGTCCCTAAATGAACGGTTGTAAATCGAGGACTCCTGGATAGCTATTTCGAATTTCTTAACTCTCTTCAGCCACACTTACCCTTCTGTGATTCGAGCCTGGGCTTTGTGCATGTTAGGCAGCTGTATTAATAGCTATCCCATTCTCCCTTAATTCTTTGTTAGCAATTTTATATATAGATATATACACACACACACATACATACATACATACATACATATATATATATACACAAATACCAGCAAGAACATGAGGAAAATTGCCAACTCTGGAGAGCCCTGCCTTAGAATAAAAGGAAAAGAAGGGACAAATGTTTTCAGCCTTGCCAGATCCTGTTCATTAACCTTACAATAAAGACAGGGCAAGTTCTCCTCACTGGGTTTCTCATTTGGACTACCCCGCCCCACCGTTCTAGCAGCCTTACATGTCTTTGACGCCATATTTGCCTAAAGACTGCCGTGCAGCATGCTTCCACAGCATTTCTTCATCGATGCCCAGGGCGGCCAACACTTTGGAGAAACGGCGCTCCACTGCCTGGCGGGCATTTGTCTAGAGGAGAAAGAAGGTTTTGATGGATCCCAGTTTGTACCAGAGGCAGCGGCGTTACCAAAAAAACCCCAAACAAACAGAGCTCCACGTGAATAGCACAGCTAAATGATCTCTTAGAAGCCGCTTTCGCAAGCTTGGGAGCACAGAGGGAGCACTCTTGCAAAATGGCTTGCAAAGGGGAAGAGGCTGCAGCAACACTGCAACATTGCAGTGGCTGCCAGAGGTGAGCTACCTTGTTGAGAACGGAGGGTGATGGGTGAACCCAGCGAGGGATTCTCTCTGAGCTTGGTGATTTGGGTGATTTTGTTTGACGTTTCATGACCCAACTAGGCAACATCATCAGGGTTAGAAGGGAATGGAGTCGAGAGGAGGAGGGGGAGGAGGACTGTGGTGTCCTTGGGGCTCTCTGAGCTGGGTAGTTTTCTTGCAGATGTTTCATGACCCAACTAGGCAACATCATCAGTGCTACCAGGGAGCGCGATTTGCTCTCTGTTTATATACGCTGGCTAGCCCTGCCGGCGTTGGTGAGGGCTGTTTTCTTCTACCTAGAAGAACCTGCTTAGAAAACGTGCCCATCAACGCTGGCAGGGCAAGCTATTGTATACAAACAGGGAGAAAGCCCCACACTCCTTCGCACTGATGGTGTTACCCAGTCAGAGAATGAAACGTCTACCAGAAAACAAGCAAGCTCAGAGAACCCCCAGAACCCCCCAGTTCAACTAATATCCTCTTCTATGGCTACAGATCCTCCCTGGACTGTCACCCTGGCAGGGTTTTGCCCAGAGAAGCAGGGCTGACTCTAACTCCACCCAGGAAGTCTGTTCCTGCACCACCCACCTGCATAACTCTCTCAAACAGATACGGGCGGCTCTCCACACGATCTTGGATCTCCTGCAGCTGGATCATGTATTCCTCCATGCGCTGTTTCTCTTGCCTCCTACATAGGACGTGGAAAGAAGGGGAGGGACCTTCTCATCCTAGCTTCCCTGCTGGGATCTCTTGGTAGTCTCCCATCCCGGTACCAAAATAAGCATCTTGATCCAGCTAGTATCAGATGGCTTGGAGATGGGGGGGGGGTGAGATGGGAGTGAAGCTACTCACCTGAGTTCTTCCCGCCTTCTCTGGACAGACGCGGAGGACCGTCCTTTATTCTGGTAAGTCGCCAGGCATTTGGCGACTTCCCGCTGCATGTGTTGCGCCTTCAATCTGCGCAGCTCAGCCCGGCGTTTCTCCTGCTGCTCTCGACGTTCCCACTCCAGCAAAAGCAACCTAGCCAAAGAGACCGGAGTTGACACCACAGGGAAATGCTCCCAGAATGGAACAAAGACAGGAGATGCTGATACAGGTGGTTCTCAACGTACCCCTATTCATTTTGCAAATAAGCCAGTTTGGTCCACGTGGTTAAGGCACTAGACTAGACAGCGGGAGAGTTCAAGTCCCACTTTAGCCATGCAAGCCAGCTGGGACTATTGGACCAATCACCAGGAGATGGTGAGTTCTAGTCCTGCCTTAGGCACGAAAGCCTGCTGGGTGACTTGGGGCAATCACAAGGAGACGGTGAATTCTAATCCCGCCTAAGGCATGAAAACCAGCTAAGTGACTCTGGGGTAATCACCAGTAGACATTGAATTCTAGTCCCACCTTAGGCATGCTGGTATAGGGTTTCCTGCCTGAGCAGGGGATTGGACTAGATGACCTCCAAGGTCCCTTCCAACATTATTATTATGGATCATTGCACAGTCAGCCAGATGTTCAGACTGGATTTGGCATTTTGTCTACCTATCGAGTCCTTATCCAGGACCTGGGATAGGCAGATGTGGATGTTTGATGGTATTACAGATATCGTCACAGGATGGAAGCAGTTCCTAGTAAGGCCGCCTTTTGCAATTGACTAATGGCGAATTTGTCAATGCCAATGGTGCAATTGGTGTTTTCACTGATGTATTTTTAATTCCTCTGGTACCCCAATGATTTTTTGCGGGGGGAGAAGCTTGAAAGCAACCTGCACACACCCACCTGTTGGCTTCCTGTCTTTTATCCGCTGTCTTGGTGGACATCACCTGAGGCGCCATGGACGGTTCAAAATCGGGGCAAGACTGGGCCCTCCAGTAGATCCCCCAAAGCCGCCGGAAGTCTTGAAATGAATCTCCTTGGTCTTTCTTTTCCTGGTCTTCCGAAAGAGGCTGAGAGTTACTGGAATGAAGGTGGAACGGCTTGCAGATGGTCAGTTTTCCTGGAAAAGGTAGAGAAAACAGAAGTACAGATGGTCCTCAACTTACAAGAACACATTTAGCGACCGTTTGAAGTTACGACGGCACGGAAGAGACTGAAGAAAGGGATGAGAAATAGAATATATTTATGAAATAAAGTAAGAATGTATTTAAGTAAACAATATGTCTATTTTAGATATGACAACTACCGTACTTTCCAGCGTATAAGACGACTTTCTCAAGCGTTAAAATCGGCGCCAAAGTCGGGGGTCGTCTTATACACCGAGTCGTCTTACATGCCGGAAATAACGGTAGTTTCCGGCGTATAAGACGACTTTCTAGGCATGCGACGTGGCGCCGAAGTCGGGGGGTCGTCTTATACGCCGGGTTGCCTTATACGCCGGAATATACGGTATTTTGCAATGAAATAAGGGAAATTTGGGTTACCCGAAATCTAAATATTATAGATATTAAGGGTTAAATTGGAACACTGTAATTGCAATTAGGTAAACTTTAAAAACAGGACATGGATAGGTATAAGTAAAAATATATTGATAAATGCCTTAACTGATTGAGTTATAATTAGAAACGTATTAATTTGAATGTGATATAATAATCAAGGGAAAAAGAGAGGGAATTTTTGATGATGTAACCTTGAGACATGTACTATTGATTACCCAATCACCACGTTGCTTCCTAAATACTTGGATGTAAAACTGGAAAATTCATAAAACTTATTTAAAAAAAAAAAAAAGAAAGTGACTGAGGACCGTTTTTCACACTTGCGACCGTCGCAGCATCCCCAGGATCATGGGATCCAAATTCGGACGCTCGGTAACAGGCACGTATTTATGACCGTTAGGATGTCCCGGGATCGGGTGATCACCGTTTGTCAACTTTGCGGCCGACTTCTGACAAACAAAGTCAACGAAGGAAGCCGGATTCCCTTAACGATCCCAGGCGTCGCTTAAACAGCTGAAGTGATTCACTTGCTGATGGTGGCAAAAAAGGTTGTAAAACGGGGCACGCCTCACTTAACAACTGTCTTGCTTAGCAATGGAAATCTGGGGCTCGATCGCGGCCGTGAGCCGAGGGCTATTTGTACACTAGGAGCCCCAGTGGGGGCAGTGGTTAGAATGCAGCATTTCAGACTAAACTCTGCCCGCTGCCAGCAGTTCGATTCTGACCGGCTCAAGGTTGACTCAGACTTCCATCCTTCCGAGGTCGGTAAAATGAGGACCCAGATTGTTGGGGGCAACAGGCTGAGTCTGTAAACCGCTTAGAGAGGGGCTGTAAAGCAATGTGAAGCGGTATGTGTCTGTTATTGCTATTGCTATTCTAATTCTATTCCATTCCCATTCTCTATTCTATTCTATTCTATTCTACTCTTTTTTCTATTCTATTCTATTCTACTCTATCCTATTTTCTGTTTTCTACTCTATTCTATTTTCTATATTCTATTCTAGTTTTCTATGTTCTATTCTATTCCATTCCATTCTACTCTACTCTATTCTATATTCCATTCTCTATTCCACATTCTATTCTATTCTATTCTATTCTATTCTATTCTATTCTATTCTATTCTATTCTATTCTATTCTATTCTATTCTTTCCATTCCATTCTAATTCTAATTCCATTCCACTCCACTCCACCCCATTCCATTACTCCATTCCATGCCATTCTCATAGTGGCGCAGTGGTCAGAAGGCAGTATTGCAGGCTAACTCTGCCGACTGCCAGGAGTTCAATCCTGACCGGCCTTCCATCCTTTCGAGGTCCGTAAAACGAGGACCCAGATTGTTGGGGGCAAATATGCCGACTCTATACACCGCTTAGAGAAGGCTGAGAAGCACTGTGAAGCAGTAGATAAGTCTAGGCGCTACTGCTATCGTTCACTTGGCTGCTGGCTCCCCTCCCCCTTCCTAGCCCTCATGAACCCTTGCTGTCAGTCAGGGTCTCCTGCACCCACCTTGCTCTTTCTTCTGCTCCAGCTGTTCTTGGAAGCGCCTTTGCAGCTGCTTGAAGTTGGGCACCTTCTGATTAATGACTGGCTTGAAGCTCAGCTCCTCCTTGGGCGTGGGGCCGCGCGTCTTGGCTTTTCTTTTCTCCTTCTGAGGGCCCGGCTCTTCGGGCTCCGTGGCTAAGCAGAGCATCTCCGCTCGGAGTTTCTCCTCTAACTCCTCCAGTGAGAGGAGCTTTTCCCGCGAGAGACGCTGCCCTTCCAGGTTCAGCAGCTGCTGAGTGAGATTCAGCCAACGGCGACGTTCCTGGCGCATCTGCCGCTTCCGGGCTTCTGACCGGGCCTCCATCTTCCAAAAGAGGGGCAAGAGAGAGCTCCTAGGAACCAAGCTCGTGTGGGGCAGGTACCTCTGGGCTCTGCTGCAAGGGACCTCCGGCGTTCTGGAAGACTTGGGGACCCCCAAGCAGGGTCCCTCTTTGGGAGCGGGGCAGCCCAAGACCGTGTCAGGGTTGTAAGGGGGCTCCCGGGGCGGGGCGGTCGAAGCCCGTGGCAAGGTCAGCTTCTTGGACTTCTCTAAATCCTGGTCTTGGCAGATGGTCTGGCCCTTGATGGAAAAGCTCTCCCACATCCAGTGAAAGGGGAAGGAGCCTTGGCGAGATGACACTTTGGGGTTTTCGGGAGGAGATGGTTCATCGCTCTGCTCCGGAGGGGCAGGCTCCAGCTGCCTAGGGGAAAGCGGAGCTAAGATCAGACACGGATCCTGCGCACGGGCCCTGGGCCTCAGAGGGTCAACCAAAGAAGACACAAAACAGAGGAGCTAATTCTACTCTCTTGCAAAATTAGGTTGACAGAATCTCGCACAGTGCAATTCTCCCGCCGTCTCCTTTACAGCTTGAGAAACTAGGGAGGGTCCCTTCTGAGCCTCTTGCCCTGCCTGTTACACAGCTGAGGGCTATGCTTTCTCTTATCTGATCGTTCCTGGGCAGGGTCTCTTTGCTCCGTCTCCCAAGGTCTTCCCCAGATATCCTTTCACATCCCTGCACATAGTCTGAACTGTTTTCCATAGATCTAGATTCATTCCCCCCCCCCCTTTACAGCCTCAGAAACTAGGGCAGGTCCCTTCTGAGTCTCTTTCTCCATCCATTATGCAGCTGTGGGCTCAGCTGTCTCTTATCCGGCCGTTCCCTTAGCAACATCTCTTCGCCTGTCTCCCAAGGTCTTCCCCACATACCACTGCACATAGCTGCACACATACACTGGGTTTTTTTTTCACAGACCTTGCCCCAGGATTAAGCAGAGGAAGAGTTCACGAAACTTGCCTCTTTACGTCTTGATCTGGCTCGGCATCTGAGGCTTCACTGACATCTGGGACGGTTTGTTCGGGTTCCCAGCAGCCCTTGAAGAGAGGGCGAAGGACTTTTTTCTTAGTACGTTTCATACAGATGAGCAGTCCATCGCCAGCATCCAGGTAATCCTCCTGGGTCAAAGACAGAGAAAGATAATAACAACAACAACAACAACAACAAAATACAAAGATCTACAAATAGAAATAGAAAGACTGTGGCAAAAGCAAGCAAGGGTAGTACCAATAGTCATAGGCTCCTTGGGTGCCATCCCAAAACAACTGGAGCACCACTTGAACACCATCGGCATTGACAAATTCGCCATTAGTCAATTGCAAAAGGCGGCCTTACTAGGAACTGCTTCCATCCTGCGACGATACCTGTAATACCATCAAACATCCACATCTGCCTATCCCAGGTCCTGGGTAAGGACTCGATAGGTAGACAAAATGTCAAATCCAGTCTGAACATCTGGCTGACTGTGCGATGATCCAAAATAATAATAATAATGATGATGATAATCGGCCCAATAAGCTGGATGCCATGACCCTATTTGGCATGCCCCTCCCCTTAGGAAGAAATCCAAGAAGACCCTTGAAAGACCACTAGTCCAGTTTCGGTCACCACATTACGAAAAAGACGTTGAGACTTTGGAAAAAGTGCAGAGAAGAGCAACTGATTAAAGGCCTGGAGACTAAATCATTTGAAGAACGGTTGCAGGAATTGGGTATAGCCATGTCACCCAGGGTCACATGATAGCAGCGTTCCAGTATTTGAGGGGCTGCCACAAAGAAGAGGGGTGAACTTATTTTCCAAAGTACCAGAAGGCAGGATGAGAAGCAACAGATGGGAACTAACCAAGGAGTGAAGCAACCTAGAACTAAGGAGAAACTTCCTGATAGTCAGAACAATTAACCAATGGAAGAACCTGCCTCCAGAAGTGGTGAATGCTCCAACACTGGAAGTTTTTAAGAAGAGACTGGACAGCCATTTGTCTGAAATGGTATAGGGTTTCCTGCCTGAGCAGGGGGTTGGACTGGATGACCTCCAAGGTCCCTTCCAACTTTATGATGATGCTGATGCTGATGACAATTTTAATAGAATTTTTTAAATGAGAAAAAGGAAAGAGGGAACTCGATGGATATCAACCGAGATGCTTAGGAAGATATAACAGAATAACAGAGTTGGAAGGACCTCAGAGGTCTTCTAGTCCAACCCCCTGCTCAAGCAGGGGACCCTATACCATTCCAGACAAGTGGCTATCCAGTCTCTTCTTAAAAGAGACTAGACAGCCTCTCCTGGGTGCTTGGCTATTCCTTCCCTCCACCAAAGCTTAATGCACTGACAGATCCTGCTGTTGCTAGCGTCAGGAATGAAAAATCAGGATTGTAGGTTAAGTTACAGGTAAGATGTTATTGCTCAACCTATACATAAGAATCTAGTCAACTAACATTAGTCTTAAAATGTTGCTAGATAAGAAACAATGGAATTCAAGAGGAGTTGGATTTAGAGTTTTAGACCATTTATGGCAGCATAACGATTCTGGGCTGATGACGTACTTTACTCCGCCCCCCCAGGCTCTGCTTGCTCTTCTCCTCCAGCTGGTTAGTTAAGACAAATTAAGAGTTTTCTGCAGGGGATGAACCCATAACCCATGACAGTGGTGCCAGGCCCAACCCAAGCTACCTGTTGCGACGGGGTATTTTCTGAAAGCAGACCCAAAAGTCGGACCTGCCCCTTTGGTTCATAAATGGTACCGGGGGTCCGAGTAATGGGATCCACGGAGGGCTTGATACAGGCATTGGTCAGCACCGACTGGCGATGAGGGTTCAACATGGTGCCCACGACAACATGGAAGAGTCCTGGCTACTCCCTGGTTACCGAAGCAACTGGTCCTCCTTCAGAACAAGCTCAGCTAAAGCATAGGGTTCTGGAATAAAGGCAAGACACAGGACAGGCTGGACGTTGGCACGGAAACATCATCGCTAAGATTTGAGGTCTAGCTGGGCCTTGTACCCTGAGTCTGGGTCGCAAGGTCGAACTCAGTCCCTGGAAAGAAAGATAGATCGGTTATTATTTTTACAATGTGTTTCAACTTCCGCTTCCCAGAAGCGGAAGCCAAAGGAGACTCAAATGGAAGCTTTAGCTGAGCAGGATATTTGGTGTGGTTTAAGGGGTCAGTCTTTCTCTAATCCAGTGTTATTAGGGTTAACTTAAACTTGTGTGGACTTCAATTCCCAGAATTCCCCAGCCAGCATGGGAGTTGACGTCCAGCCAGATATAAGTTGGTGAAATAGAGAAACATTGCTCTAATCAGAATAACAACAACAACAACTTTATTATGGTCATAGACCAGCAACAGATATCACTTTTTACAATATATTAAGAAAAAAATAAAATAAAAATAGTACTGACATTAATGGTAAACAATAACATCCCTGTTAAGAAAATACATGTTCTCAAAATGTTAGGGTCACTCCCTAGTTTACGTGAGTGGAAAGCCGATAAGTGTGTGAGTAAATCTAATGTTCCAAAAATTATTAGAGATCTCGCCCCAAAATTGGCACAAGTTGACGGCTATAAAGCTGTAACCAAATTTTTTTCTTGTGGACGTGGCCGCAACACAGTATTTTGCCACTGCGTGCGTGATAGGAGGGTTTGCGTCCTGGAGGAGAAAGCCTACATAAAAATTGTCTGCCCTCCCTGGCAATCTCTTTCATAGGGGAAGAATATATGCTGACTTATAAACTCGGTATAACTCACAGTACAATAAAACATGTGAGATGTCCTCAATGTCTCCTTTACCACATATACATACCCGTTCTGCTATTGGTGTTCTCTTATACCTGCCCTGGAGGAGTGCTGGGGGAAAAATGTTCAATCAGTAAACAGAGCTGTTCTGTAAAGATGGACAGTTAAACATTTGATAAATACATAAAAAGAAATAAAACAGCAGACTCTTGAACAGATCTAAACAAAACAACAGTCTTATTCACATCTAACCTACATCTGGGTTGCAAGAATCCAAACCACGTTTACGTCTCAATGAAACAGACAATTCTGTCACGCCCACTTGATTTCTGCACTCTAGCTATGCTCATTATTGTGAAAGCTTGGACCTTGAGAAAGAGAGAAAGAGGATTTAAAATTTGGGCACATAGCTGGCAGCATTGTCCATGAACCAGAATACTAGTTTTTGGTTTCGGTTCTGAGTTAGATAGGCAATTTATTTTCAAAATCAGCATGGACAAAGCATAGCTGTAAGTTGCGGAAAATGACTCAGAGATGGTGTGGCTTACAGCCTGGAAATACAGCTCTACCAATCAACTACAATGCCATGCTTAAAACAACATAAAGAGATCACAAAAGGATGGCATTGCCTCTTCCCCCCCCCCATTTATTTCGTCACCTCTTCTCAAGGAGTTAGATGTAATGTTAAAACAGAAAAAAAAAAGCCATTTGTCCACACTTCCCTGTGGAGATTATGACCAATATAATTTTAATAATTTATCCAAGGCCAACATAATTCATAGTTACTAAGAGAGGCAGACATCTGGGAAAGCACAGTGCTGCTTTTGAACTTCTGGAGTTTTTTCACACCAACCGTGGGCCATCGCATTACCCTGACGTTAAAGTTACCCCCCCATTGATAATAGTTTGCACCCCTGGCTTGAAGAAATGGAAAAAGAGATCCTATTTTTCAGGTTGAACAGTTTACAGCGCAATCAGTGCTCCGTTAAATATAAAAGGCCACTGTATAAATGTTAAACGTATTTATTTAGGAAATTTATTTGCTCCCCATCTTATATCCAACAATTCTTGGCGGCTTACAGCATAAAAACATTAAAGCGTTTAAAAAATATAAAACCAACAATCATAGAACACAGCGGATAAATTCATTAACAAAAACAAAACAAAAAAAAAGAATACAGCAAATATTGGGTTTCCCCCACGCCCACACTTTGTGTGTCTCTCAAAGTGCAAACCAGGTTTATGGGGATATGGAGATTTTAGATATGAAAAGAGGAGGAAGAGACACATTTGGGTGGATACCGTGACTGGAACAGTGCCAGAAATAGGCAGAATGGCAAGAGATAAAAATTGTTATCATCTGTCACAGTAACTCCTAACCTTGGTGACTTGAAGATGGATGGATTTCATCTCCCAGAATTCCAGCATGATTTAATTTTGGGAATTGAAGTCCACCCATATTAAAGCTTGCTGGCTGGGAAATTCTGGGAGTTAAGAAGTCCACCGGTCTTCTTGAGAAACTTGAGAAACACCACCCTAGTATCTCACAACCTACGTTTTGTTGACTTTTGCACGATCCCAGGGCTCAAGGGAAAAAAAAAAAAAAAGTCTCACAATTGCTGCAAGGGAAGAAAAATAACTGAGATGCAAACCATTATAACCTTGGATTTTGGTCCCTGAATCATTTCTAGACAGTGTTTTACGTACCACTTTGGTTATTCGGGTTTTCTCCCGTGTAAAATTGGAAGTTCTTGGCGTCATCTTCAGGCTGGTGTTTTCGGCTTCATGCTTCTAGAAGCACAAAGCCGAAAACACCAGCCTGAAGATGACGAATGGGACTTCGTCGAAACGTCGCCAAGACACTTCCAATTTTATGCGGGAGAAAACCCAAATAACTAAAAACCTACATACAAACACCCACGAAAACCTCAGAAAACATATATATATAGTGCACTTTGGACCAGGAGAAAAATGGTTCAGTATCAAACCATTGCATTTAGATCAATTTAGCTGAGCACAAGTGTCGATTTCTCTTGCTCTACATGAGCAATTTCCTTCTTTTCCGATCACAGAAACAAAAACATGGCAAGCCCCTTTCCAGGGAGAGGGTGGGGGAAGTAATCTGTCACCACCGTTCCAAGATTAAATTGCTTTCAGCTTTCAACGATGTAAGATCAAGCCTTCAGAGTTTTCGCCAAAGTTGTCGTCTGCTTTTGAACGAAGCGAGCCATCGTTGAAAGGAGCTCAACCTTCCTCATAATTGGGGAAACCCTGGAAGAGAGAGAATCTGTCGTAAGATTCACAAATCCGTTTTTCAGAAATGTAACTTGGACCAGTCACTAAATAAATGGCTTTAAGTCAAGGAACGCAGCACTACAGATTACAGTAATTTATTTATGATTATTTTGTTTGCTGCCCACCTCTCTGCAAGATGACTTTGCACTTATTTGTTTTAACAAACCAACGTAGTTTTTGGATTCAGAATCCTACCTTTAGTAACTCCGGGATGTGGAGAGCTCTTCCGTTTTCGGAGATCTGGTTTGGAAAGTGATTCCATCTCCTGGCAAAGGGGAACCGACGAAAGGCGTGAAGAAGGCCAGCAGCCAGCGGTCTCCCATGACTTGTCGAAGGTTCTCTCGCCAACCCAAGTGGTACTGGCGATTTCCTTCAAACCATTCTTTGGTGGTCTGTCCGCGCAGGGCCAGCAAGCTGTGGAACAGCAGGAAACTGAGGCAGAACAAGAATCCCACCACGCAGACATCAGTCATAAAAGCGTAGGCAAAGGTCACGAAATTGACTTGCCCTGTAAGAGAAGGAAGGCGAAGCGTCATTTTGAGCTGCTTCATCTAGAGCAGGCATCTCCACCTTTGGCAACGTTAAGACTTGTGGACTTCAACTCCCAGAATTCCCCAGCCAGCCATGATTGAGACCTCACCTGCCCTCCTGTGAGTCTTGCTCCCTTCCTACCCATCTTTTCATTGTAAATTGTTATTAATGTTCTAACAGAGGTCCCCAGCCTGAAGATGACGAATGGGACTTCGTCGAAACGTCACCAAGATACTTCCAATTTTACGCGGGAGAAAACCCGAATAACCAAAGACCTACACACACACACGTATATATATGTATATATATCAGTAATAGCATTAAAAATATGAATCCTGGGTGTATTCATATTTAAAATAAAATGAGCACCAGGGTAGTTAAAACTATAAAAAGTTTAATTAAAAAACGCCAAGCTTTCGCCGTCACCTGCCGGCATCATCAGGGCTTAAACACTCACTTCTAGCGTTTTAAGCCCTGATGATGCCGGCAGGTGACGGCGAAAACTTGCCGTTTTTTAATAAAACTTTTTATAGTTTTAACTACCCTGGTGCTCATTTTATTTTAAATGTATGTATGTATGTATGTATGTATATTTTGGAAAGCCTCCCAAAAATGGCATCCAGGAGAGATGGGTGGCATAAAAGTTGAATAAATAAAAGTTGAATAAATAAAAGCTCTTGTTCTTACCCATCAGGAGCATCAGCCAAGGCAGCATCAGCAGGAGGATGGTGTGGGCAAGGCCGCCTTCCTCTAGCAGCATCCAAACCACGTTGACATTGAGCAAGCTGCCGTACAGCAAGGCAACCGACCCGTAGAGCAGCAGGCAGAGGAAGTAGCGGTAGTTTTGATAGCCCACGCACTGGCCGAGCAGCAGGCAATGGTGATCTCGCCGCAGGACACAAACGTTGCAGGAAAAGCAGTGGCTGCAGCGGGACGGCACATGGGTCTGGCAGGAATAGCAGTAACTGGGAGGAGGAGAAAGAGTGTTGGGAGAGGGGGGAAAATTGATGGAGCTAGTTGGGTGTCTTTGAACCAATCACCAGGAGACAGGGAGTTCTAGTCCCGCCTTAGGCATGAAAGCCGGCTGGGTGACTTTGGCCCAATCACCAGGAGACGGTGAGTTCTAATCCCACCTTAGGCATGAAAGCCAGTTGGGTGACTTCTGACCAATCACCAGGAGATAAGGAGTTCTAATCCTGCCTTAGGCACGAAAGCCGGCTGGGTTACATTACACCAGTGTCTGTCTCTCAGCCCAACCACCTCACAGGATTGTTGTGGAGGAGCATTAAATACGTTCAGCGTCTTGAGTTGTTTATAAAAAAAATAAACGTTGGATATAAATAAATAAGGCAACCCAGCATTATGGGTGCAGCCCAAGGAACACATTTGTCTTCCTTTGGGATTCCAAATCCTTCTTGATACAAAAAAAAATTGAAGCGGTTGATGGACCAATAGAAGATCCCACCTCACCCCTGTGCATCCTGCCCCTTCCTTCCCAATCTTTTAATTATAGGTTGTTGTTTTTTATTAGAAATACGTTTATGATTCTGTTGCTTTATGTTGTACGCTGCCCAGTCCCCTTGCAGCAAGATGGGCAGCAAACAGATTTAACAGATAAAAATACATTCATAAGGCAGTCACTAGATGGCAGCAAAGAATAATAGCCCATGTGTCTTTACTGCCATCTAGTGGTCTGTCTGAAAACTGCAGCCCACAAATAATATAATGCAGTGGTTCTCAACCTTTTTAATGCCGCCACCCTCAACCGGTCGTAAGTCAAGGACAACTCAACTGGTGCAGCACCGTTTGCAGAATGGGACTTTTGGCGGGCTCAGCAGGGCAGAGACAGCCTGGACAATTCCTATTGGCTTTTGAAAGCCAATAGAATTAGACTCTATTCAAGAGAGTCTATTCTATTGGCTTTCAAAAGCCAAGAGAATAAAAGGGAGTAGCACAGCTAAGGAAAAGGGGAAAAAAATGTCAGACTGCGTTGCTTGGCGACCCCCGTGAAATGGTCGTTCGACCCCAAATGGGGTCCCAACCCACAGGCTGAGAACCACTGATATAATGCCTGATGATTTTTACAACCCACTCGAAGCAACAAATATACCTAATACTCCTCCTATTTTCCCCACAACAGCCCTGTAAGGTGGACTGGGCAGAGAGAAAGTAATTCCACCTTCCAATACTCTTCCATTCCTTTACACTTTTAATCACTCCCCTGCTTCCTTGAGATGCAGACCTCACAAACCTGGGGGAAATGGGGGCTTAAGTTCAACAAGGTTAAAAGTTGGGTTATTTGCTCTAAAGCAGCCCCTCTACCCTGTTGGTAAAAGGCTGATGTTCTCCCAGATTCTATCCTTTTCTGAAGCTTTGAAAAAAAGGAAACCCAATGGAGGAACAGCGTGTCCCTGAGCATGTGCAGAGATCCCTTCCTCTACTACTTCGTCACCATCTTCCTCTCAAGAAATCTATCATTATGGAAATTCCCCATCACCACCTCCATTTTCCCGCCATTTCTAGAAGCTCCTCCCTCGACGCGCGATCGCTTTCCCATTGGCCCCCGCCCCGCCGCGACCCTAACCACGCCCACTCACTCCCATCCTTGCCCCGCCCCCGCCAGCATGACGCCGCGCGTGCTGGGCGAAGCCATGATGAAGCGCCGAGCGTTCTCCAGCGCGCTGGCCAGCAGGAAAAGCAGCGAGGCGATGGGCCACAACGGGAACGGCTGTCCGGGCGGACGGAACCGCAGCAGCACCAGCAGCACCTCCGCGACCAGCGTGGTAGCCAACACCGCCCCGGCGCACACGGGCAGCACCCTCCGGTCCCAGTCGCGGCCTTCCATGGCGGCGCGTGCGCGGCCCACGCGCCTCTCTTCCGGCTTCGCTTCAGCCGCCCCTTCCCGCTCAAATCGTTCAGCCAATCGGCGGCGGCAGCCGCTCCTGCTAAGCCCGCCTTTCGAGCCGATTCTAGCCAATCGGCGCTCTGACCTCGGAGACTTGTTTATCTCAGCAACTTGCCTCGCTGACAAGCGTGTCAGGGATGCGATTCGTTCACACGAACATATTGTTCTTAACAGGCGGCCGCAAAAGCCTGTTATTGTATGGGCAAATGCTCTTCATCTCGGCCTGTGTTTAAATCTGGCTCCTCCATCTTCAAAAACAGGCCTGGGATCTCCTGGATCCACGTATCCATTGTCTTAAGGACGACTTACCTAAAACCTCTGGCCCCATGATGGTTTTTTCCCCTCGTAGTTCATCTTCATTCATCCGCACCGCAAGCCCAGATCAAGTGAATCTTATATATAAATCTTATTTATCTGGAGATAAATTGCAAAGGTTGCAGGAAAAACTAATTAGCCCCTGACTCCACAAAGGCAGAGAAAGTGGATCAAAAAACCAATTTATCTCCAGATCCATAATTCAGAAACGTGGATCTGCTTTCCACCTTTTTCATTCACTGTCCAGCTATCGATGTAAAAAAGATGTAAAAAAAAGAAGTTAAGATTGTCCCAGGGTTGCGATCAAAGCACTGCCTATAATGCCCCTGTACCAATATGAATGCAACATAGGATGGCTTTTTTTATATGCTCAGGAGCATGGGTTGTTTTCCATAGAAGAGAAGCTATTATTTCGCTCTTTTCGTTTTAAAAATGCCATCCCTCAGTGGCATCTGCAGCAAACCATGAATAAAGCCAAAATGGCAACGCGTAAAAAATGACACAAACTTCAAATATTGCAGTTTGGAGATCTGTTCTCATTTGATTTGATTTGATGACATATGGGTAGTCTTCGACTTAAGACCACAGTTAGGCCCAGAATTTCTGTTGCTAAGCAAGTTGGTTGTTAAGCGAGTCGTGCCCTATTTTATGACCTTTTTTTGCAAGATTGAATCATTGCAGTTATTAAAGCTGGCTTCCCTCATTGCCTTTGCTTGTCAGAAGCCAGGTGGGAAGATGGCAAATGGGGATCCCGTGACTCTGGCATGCTGCATCCTTTGTAAATATATGCTGGTTGCCAAATGCCCACATTTTGATCAAATGAGGATGTTGTGACGGTTGTAAGTCACTTTGTTCAGGGCAGTTGTAACTTCAGACAGTCACTAAATGAACAGCTGTAAGTCAAAGACTATATGTGGTTTGGTGATGTAGCCATCAGAGAATAGAACAGATCTATTAGAACAGAATAGATCTGTTTTCTAAGTAGATAAATTGTGGTGTTTAAATGGTTTTGTGCCTTCTCTGCTGTAGCCTCTGCCCTCTGGAATATTCTCCCTTCAGATACCAGGATGACTCTCAACTGCTGGGTTTTCACAACCAAGGCCGTGAACACTTGGTTGTATATCTGGGATGGGACCCCCTGAGTGTGTTAAAAGCCCCATTTCCATAGTAGCAGTTTTACTTAGTGCATATATACTAAATTTGTATTGCTTTAATTGTTTTTATGATGAATGCTGTTCAGACTCACATGTTGAGAAGGGTAGCTATAGAAGTCAAATAAACCATTGATCCATAAAATGTATTTATTATTCAACATGTAACTGTCTACATCTTTTTAAAACTGTCACAAATGGCTGTTGCTCCATTTCCATTGCAACAGATTAATACAGGGGTCCCCAACTCCCAGTCTGTGGACCGGTAGCAGGCAGCAGCCAGTCCGCACAAACAAGCAAAACCCCATCCGTGGAATGCAAGCAGCATACAAAACCACACATTTCCCGGTCCATGGAAAAACCTTTTTCCACGGAACCGGTCCCTGGATTAATACATCTGTTTATTATTGAATTTGGTATTGTTTATGGATATTCTCTATCATCCAATCGTGATTGTCCCCAGAGTAGCTTTTCCAAAAGGCAAATGGGACTTTCTTGTTTTTTTTTCCCTTGTAAATGTTTTGCTTCTCATCCAAGAAGCTTCTTCAGTTCTGAATTTGGGATTCTCCTCCATAGGGCACTCAAAACTACTACAGTACTCCTAATAATTGTTGCTGGTTCATTTTGATATATATGACGCGGAGCAAGTGAATCTGTAACAGGGTTTCGTGTGTTTAAGGAATACGAAGAGCCAGTTATTTTTTTTCAAAATAAGCTTCTATAAACCGTACTCAAAAAGTTGAAGGAAACGGCAAGCGAAGCTTCTGAAACCTCTTTCTTTGCTACTAAATTTTTGAACAGATGTGAAAACTAGGAAGTTTTGTGCAAGAAATGTCATTGTGCCATTCTCTTTGATCTATCTTATTCTCACGGGCTTTTTTCTTTTTTCTTTTTGCAGAATGCTCATGGAACAAGAAACTTTCAGAGTAGGATTGAGGTCTCTACTGGTAAGTCCTGACATAACAGCCTCAAAAGCATGATGGGGGAAAATGGGAAGGCTTATGTAAATGTCGCACCAATCGCTGTCAAACAAAGCACACAGGCAATCAGGAAATGAACGTTGCTAACAGAATTCTTAATTTTTATAGTTAAACTTCACAACAGGAGGCTGTTAATGTGGACAATAGAAATAGGCACTTGGTCAGAGGGCATCCGATGAGATTGCCAAGCAGTGATGATTCCGATGCGACGAAGAATAGGTTCCGTAAAGAATTTGCTCCTCGTTATCTGAAGTTTCCTAGGAAAGAATGCTCTAGTAGGCTGCTGGACAGGAAAGGTATCGCTTCTCGGCCTTTTGGCTAAGATCAAGTGTAGTATCTGTTCTTATCAGTTTAATATCTGATATGTCCTCTATTTGAGGACTACATATTAAATGGATTTTTGGAACAGGGAGATGGAATAGGGGCTTGCTCCGTCCACTCCAAGCATCAGCCTGGTATTGCAGTACCTCCAGGAATGGTGCACCCCCCATTGGGGGGAATTTCATGAGTTAAAGAATAGATTGAATAAAATAAGCTTTCCTATACCTGTGTACTGTGGGAGTCCATAGAAAGTGGAAGAGTCAGTTTTCATCCTAAAAGTCTTTCCTGTGGCTTTGTGTTGGTTTGTTTTCTCCTTCTCTAGAAGACAAGGACACAAAGTTTTTGCATAATCTTGCTAAGAAAGTTGCAGAGACACTTTTCCAAGAAGCTCCTCCAGGTCAGCATTGACTCTTTAAAAGCCATGAAACAAGCAGATTAGGGTTATGATGGTTTTCCCAGTTGCAATGTACGGCTATGAAAGTTGGACCCTAAGAAAGGCTGAGTGCCAAAGAATGGAGGCCTTTGAACTCTGGTGCTGGAGAAGACTCCTGAGAGTCCCCTGGACTGCAAGGCGATCCAACCGGTCGGTCCTAGAAGAGATCAACCCTGATTGCTCTTTAGAAGGCCAGATCCTGAAGTTGAAACTCAAGTCCTTTGGCCACCTAATGAGAAGGAAGGACTCACTAGAGAAGAGCCTGATGCTGGGAAAGATGGAGGGCAAGAGAAGAAGGGGACGACAGAGAATGGGGTGGCTGGATGGAGTCCCTGAAGCAGCAGGCATGAGCTTCAATGGACTCCAGAAGATGGTAGAGGACAAGAAGGCCTGGAGGAACATTGTCCATGGGGTCGCGATGGGTCGGACACGACTTTGCAAATAACAACAACAAAAATCAAGTCAAAAGGACTTGAAACAAAGGCAGAGATCTGTTTATCTGTCTTTTTTTTTTTGTAATGTCGGTTGATACCTGTACTTGAAATATAGAGATAAGATGCTGTAGAAACATGATTTTAAGCAAGGGATTAAAATGCTTTGTCTACGTTTAGTCTACTTTGAAACATTAAATTTGAACCAGGATTTTTTTTTCTCTAGGCATTCACCAGCTTTCACAAGGCCCTTCTCATTGATCCTAAGAATAACTCCTGCGTAACAGGAGCAGCCTGCAAATGAACGGAAACTGCATCGAGCTACGCAAATGCGGGTGAAATACAAAGAAGCAGAAAGTTCATGGAACCTAAACCGAACCCTGAATTCACGGTATCCCCAAACAGAATAAGGTCAGTCTTGAAAACCTTTTCCTCTCCCCCTGAAGTGACCTTTAGACAGGTATTTCTTCGGGCACGTTTTTTAAAGCTCATGGGGAGGATTTCAGCCCTCCAAATGCAACGTGTGACTTTCCAAGAGACACGATAAGCCTAACACCTTTTAAAGCACAGGCTGGTTTCTTGCAGCGCTTTTTCTAGGAGGAGGTAACCATTTCTATAGGACGATGGTAATAACACCAGTTTCTGACATTTCAAACCTCCGGAGATACGTGCTGGCATTTATAGTTTTCATATTGGGGAACCCCCACGCAGACCTTGTGAAATAGATAACATGGATGAACATGTGCAGAAGGTTTTTCCCCTTCATTACTTAGAACCAAATAAAGAGGCCCTATTCCACCCATCTGGAAAAAAAAAACCCGTTTCACAGGACACAGTGCCAGGATCTCAAAAAGGACTCAGGTTCCTTGGTTGTTTGTCCTAGGAAAGGGGTGGGTAACCTGGGCTCTTTTATGACTCGTGGATTTCAACTCCCAGAATTCCTGAGCCAGCCATGCTGAGGGGAAAGGGGGAGGTTTCCAAGCTGAGCCATGCCGGCTTAGGAATTCTGGGAGTTGAAGTCCACGAGTCATGAAAGAGCCAAGGTTTCCTACCCCTGGCCTAGGAAATGCTGGGAAATTTCAGAATCTATTTGGGAAACACGGTTGCCGTCCAAATTCATAAGAGAACATCTGGAAACTAATTTGGCCTGACTTCTTTCTCAACATGGAGGCCAGCTGACATTTAATCAGTGGCATGCCTTGCCTCCAGAAGCTGTGGGTGCTTCATCACTGCAGGTTTTTTTTTTTTTTTAAAAAAAGATCAGACAGCCATTTGTCCAAAATAGTATAGGGTCTCCTGCTTGAGCAGAAGATTAAGCTACAAGACCTCCAAGGTCCCTTCCAATTCTATTGTTCTGTTCTGTTCGTTAATAGCTGTACATTTATTCTTCGATCTGACTGTTATTAACCTTAATGGAAGGTTAATGACAGTACTATAAGCAAGATTTTT